GAAAAGCATATCTTGGCTGGCCGGTGCGTGGATGAGCCGCCATCTGCGGGTCAGGTTGAATTAAACATCGGTGAACATGTCCATAGACCCGGCTCATCGGCATTTTAGCCAAGCAGAGGCCTCTCCAATCCCCGCAAACAGTATGTATAGGCTAACAGCGCCTCTGCTTTTCCAATGGCCAGTGAATGGAGAGGTAACATTGCGGGTTCTGGATGTATTGAAGCACGGATCGTCGATTCAGCGGTGCTGACAGATACCTCGAGAGTCATATAACAATAGGATCTCGCACAAAAATCAAGTTTTCGTTTCTCAGGTGAGGTGTCTTGGGCTGCTGATCAGATCCATATGAGATGCATATATCATAAATGCAAGTGCCGTAAACAGTTTCTGGCATGACACAAGTTTGAAACCCGGCTATCTGAGATTGCAAAGATCGACGACACTGCTATCTCTTGTCTCATGAACTTTCGCGGTAACAAAGCCCATAGGCAGATCATGTAGCGATGGGCTACCGTTGGTGGGTTGGACTGGCCGGTGAACGTTGGGGATTGATCATTTTCTGAAGTGTGTCAATGGCGGCGACAAACGTACCCTGTTGTAAGGTGAGCGCATAAATGCAAAGAAGTGAAGCAAGGGTCGGTCAAATAGATAGACAAAGCAGGAAGGCCAGTAGCAGCCGCGCATAGGCAGTCGTTTGAACAAACCGCAGCGAAAGTACTATCAGATCTTGGTCGACGAATGCGATGGACACCGTAGTATGTATCGATTCTTTGTCTCAAATGTCTCAATTCGGGTATATCAAGATCCAATAGGAACTGGTCCGTCAGGAGTGCGCATGTGGTTGGGCAAACATCCATCACCTAGCATACATCTTCTGCGAACAAGGAAGTAGTATCCTTGACCAAGACTTGGCGCCTGTGGCGTGCATTTCGACGAGTCGTGTGAAGGGAGACTTGTTTGAATGCCATGAGTCAAGGTGCGTGCTCGTGCATAGTGGCTGCATCTGGCTGCATCTTGTGCGCTGTTTGTTGCAGTTTGTTCGAGGTTGGTTGCAGGAGAGAAAAGATGACTGACTCTAATGTCTGCCTTGGTACCTTAAGATTGCTGAATAAGGTAAAGGCAGAAAACAAGGACGGGAGGTACGGGCAGTGACGGAGAATGGAAAGTGCGGGAAGAGTTTTCCCGGGCAGGGACTACGCAAGCCAAGAAGCAATAGAACCGGCTCATTGTTATTGCGCAGAATCGATCGCTCTCCTCAAGGGTCTTTTTCACGCAATGCAACGCTGGAAGTGGATAACATAGGTAGAGAGTGAGATTTTCAAAATGTTGACAGGCCGGGATTTACAGTGACAACCCGCGTAAGTACATCCGAGAGGTTGCAATGCTCGGATAACAATGATCAAAAGATGACAAGATCCGAGCTGTCAAGAGTCCAAGCGAGCCAGGGTTCACAGCACTATAAGCATGGATCGATGGCTGTGGAGGTGCTGTGTGTACTTGTGAGAGATGATGTCCCGCAAATTCTAGAAGAACAGACTAGGTAGAAAACGTCAAGGGTGCAGGTGCAAGCAGCTAGAGAAAGATATTCATGCATTATGTCCCTTAGTAACGTCTTACGATGCAGGAGTTTGCAGCAGCACTATCACTATTAAAGGACCAATTATGCCACTCCGGTTCCCCGAGCGGTTCCTTGACCCATGATATCTGAAGACTACTGTAGGTATAATGCCTCACAGCGGAGACAGAGAGAGGGCTACGTAATTCAAAGAGCTGTCGAACATGATACTATAGCCTAGGATAATTGTAATATAGACCCGAGAATGAAATCGACAATAACCGACATATCACCAAACTTGGTGATAATGAAATGCTGCTAACACCAAACGGACTAAATAGGCAATGAACCCTTGATCGAGTCTCCAGTAAATTTATGCTCCGGATGCAAATCAGCCCAGCTTAGTCCACCCTAACATAACCCACATTACGGGCTAACTCAAGACCCTTGTCGAATATCAAGCTCCACGCTCCATTTCAACAACACCAAAGGCACTCGACAATACCCAAAGCGTCTTTTATCGTACCGACAAAGTCGTATACAGTCCCATGCCTATCTCGTATGCAAATTGCGATTCGTGGATTATCCAGCGAGTCCGACCATGCCTCGCCTGGACCTTTTGACTTTTTCGAGTCATTTCTTCAACAGGCGGGTACACCAGCCGGTCAAGACAAACCAACAGTTTGAGTTTGACAGGGCTGATGGACACGATCGATTGTTAGTCATGCACGCTTCACTTTTCCAAGATATGGCAGTATCATCCAGTTCCGCCCGCCTCATCTATACCCATCCACGTAGTCGTATCTTGCTTGGAGCAAACAAGCCACTTATTGGGTATAGCATGAAGCACTAATGGTGGCATTTCTTTTGCAGTGCATTCCTGTCCCGGTAAAACATCCGCTCGCGCTGCTGCAGAGAGAGCCAGAGCCATAGAGAGCTGGGGGAGGAGTCAAATCCGGGGCGGTTGAGGGCATATCCTCGCAAGAAATTCCGTGTCTTGCGCAACTAAGTCAGCGTCTATGATTGGACCAAAAAAAGGTCATGTGCTGGATTTTCAGGTTTGTCTCATCGACGTCAAAGCCTGCAGCAAACCAACTAACTTCCTGGGCTGCAGGACACTAACATCGAAAGTGGGGTGATTTGGTGGCTTGTCTTGTTTGGTGCTAAGTAGCGGATCCTGCTGAATATCTCGCCTGCCTGGACTGGTTGGAAGGATTGCAACACAGGAGCCGCAATGGTAACTACCTACCTAGACGACTTGATGACGGAACAAAACATCAAATGTTCCAGTGGAGACATGACAGAGAGCCAAGGCCCTGAAGTGAAAAAAAAAAAAAATTGTGTGTCAGGGATGGCCCCTGTTCTCTGTCCCTTGCTGAAGATCGTTGTCTCACCAACAAAGGGAATTCCCCGCGGACAAACTTTGACGCTAACTAAGGTCACTGAACCTTCTAAATCTTCTACTGAAGCTTCCCTGTAGTTATTCCCGGATGGCACTGCCGGTGCTGTAGATCCTGGTCATAGCTTGATGTTTGCCCCTGAGCCAAACCCGGAAACGCATCTATGCAGTGTCATCATCTTCATCTTTTGAGGTCGGGGAGCGTTCAAGGCTACTGTAGATGCAATACTGTACCAGTCCTTTTGGGGCAAAGTGAAACTACCGCTCGACTGAAGTGCAGGTCCGGTCGGCCGCTCGTTCACTGTAAGTGAAGCCTCGTGGTTCAGCCTCTGCAGGTAGCGTGGTCTTGCCGTCTCTCGTCGCCTTGTTTTTTGATCTGAGTACATAAAGACATGCACAGTTCAAGACAGCCGTTGCTGCTCATTCGCTTGAATCTCAACTGAGGCTATCATTGCTTTTTGTAACCTCGGCAAGAGATGTAGCCGGTATCTGTCACGGTATCAAGATATGGGCAGACGTCACAACCACCAACTGCAAGTCTTCGATCTGTGGAATAAAAGACCCTTCTGAGGATCGAGCCAAACATGTTTCAACCTATTCCGAGTTTCCTTGTCCTGTGGGAGCTTGGCACGTGGCTTGAAGCTCTCGACTGGACCCTAGGATGAAGTACCGTAATATTATGTAGGTGCCAAAGCATCAGGTGCATGTCTGAGATCTCGACCCACTCCAAATCACGCCAAGAGCAATAATGAAGGAGAAGAAGAAGAAGAAGAAGAAGAAGAAAAAGAAATAAAGAAAAGAAACAAAGATCGCCTTGTTTTTGACACGATTACTGACCAGAGCTGGTCTATCCATCCCACGGTCTTGGATCCGCCCTCAGCCACGGCCATAGAGTTCATACAAGTCTCTTGAGGCTCCGAGCTTGGCCACAAATTCGCCACGGCTCTGTAACTACGACGTAGTTCGCCCACATAAACATCCAATGCCAATGCTAGTGCCGTTTGCCGCCAGATTCTACGCCAGCGATACCCTGCGTCTTCTCTTTTTCTGTCCGTTCGGCTTGGATTGGCTGTGAACCCGACAAATCGGGCTGACGTTGTTTCAACTCACAGGCGCCGTTGGAAGTCTCCTTGTTTGTGCTTGACGCCGCCATTTCATGCCACGCTAATCCATGCAGGCAGTCGTCCTAATCCTAGGTACCTACCCCGTAGCACCCTGCACCCTGCACCCTGCACCTTGCAATTGCAAGCACTTAGATATGATAGGCCCGCAGGGATCGTGAGATGAGGTGAGGTCAAGTGCAGGGATCAGACATCGAGTCCTGCTCCTTCAGTGACAATCTGCCCGCATGTTCACTTCACATACAGTACTTTACTTATCGAAAACTGCCGGCCTCCAACATTTCATTGTACTGTAGGTACTCTCTGTACCTTATTACCTGCCCCATTACCGATATTCACGAGTCACACTCACACCTAGGTACCTTGCCTATCTACCTGTCTGTGGCTGGCTGGTCATTGCCTCATTTCCTTTGCCTCGCCTGTTGTTGCCTTCTCTTAATACCACATCACATCCCATCAGCCAACCCTCCTCGATCTTTATACCTTACCTTGCCTCAAACATCCCCCGAGAGAATCAAGCATTGATCTGACGGCATATTCCCGGTACAAGCCTATACTTACATCTGTCGGACAATATCCTACCAGTCGGCGTCTCTTCCGTTATATATGAGTATAAAGCAATAGGCGACAGAAAGTCACAGTGGTACTCTGTTCGCCATCCAAGTATCGTGACCTCACTCCTTCATCACCCTAATTTCACCATACCTGACGCGGAAGTTCCTCTGACAAGCAGGCTGTTGGGCTATCTTGGGCATTGAAACATCGGATGAGCATCTCTGATAGGGATAATTGGTGGCCCTCTACGACACTGCATCACCCAGATATGCTATAAAACCTCTATTGGGTCAGTTTTGAGGCGGCATACTAGTGCCATGTATACGACAACACCAAGAAAATCGTTCAATACTTTGGAGCCAAGAACAATATGACGGCCTTCAGCATTGTTATTCAACCTCCTGCTCGAGCCCAGCTCTCGACGACCCTGTATCCACCCCTTGTTGCGGAGCTAAACTTCAGAGGGGCCGTAACTAGTCAATATTTCTTCGCCATGGCCTTTTTAGTTACGAGAGAAGGGAATATTGTTGAGGGAGGCTTGTCGGGGACCACTTCGGTGAACGGCGTCGATGTCACTACAGCTGGAGCCTCGAGAACAACAATCCATTTCCCGTACACAGATCTTGCTATTCTAGCTGAAGGCGTTTACAAGATCAGAGTCGACGTTTACAAGGTTGCCTTCGACAACCCAGACGGTTGTGATTTTCAAGCGCACGCCAAGAGCAGCCGTGTCACCGTCGTCAACGAAGCGGTGCCGGCTGTAAGTGCCGGTGAGTCACTCAATATCCAAGAAAAGTAACCTCATTCAGCTCACTTATTCTTGTCAAGGATCCGCTGAGCGCAGCATTATCCGGGGTCTCCAGGCTGCTGGGGTCTATATCCATTAATCATAATTACCAACGTCACAAAATACCAAGACGGAAACATCCAAAGCATAATGACAAATACAACAACCGAACTTGCAAGACTGCTGATAGATATCTTGCAGAGGATATCAAGCTGCATCAATCAGAATTCTACCGGTGGTGTCGAGTATCAAGCATGAGTCTGCATGCCAGGTTACAACAGGGCTTGGAGGAACTGCGGCGCGACATCCACGGTGGTTAGTCGGGGAGATTTCACATGTATTATATATATCTTGGTCTTAGAGGGTCAGCGGAACTGACTCATCAACTATTGTGTGTTTACGCCCTCCGCGGAAATTTCAAAAATCATAATAGCTTGGACCCTGCCCGTTGGGATACACTACGTCTCGCTTAGGAGCTCGATGGAACCTCGGCGGCTCAAGAGCTCCGGGCTGCAGATGAGCGTGCATAATCTAGCTTTTGAAGGTTTACGCAAGTGCCGCGATATTGTCACCTTGGCGGAATGGAATGACTGATGCTGTTTGGAGGTTTTGAGTAAACGGAGGGCCCTTCTCCACACCAAAGTTCAGGCTACGCTATTGTTGGGAATGCATTCCAAAAAGCAACGGTCACGACGCCACAGCGTATCGTGGAGCGATAATGCTAACTGATGGAAAAGTGGCTGAGATCGAAACACCAACCCCCAGAGCTCGGAACAGATGCTCGGAGCCAACTAAGACCCCGACGCCAGGGACAAGTGGAAAACGTTATCAGCTCAAATTCTTATGTTTCGGCATCTAGGAAGACGCTACAGATGAGCTGTTTGACCGTGCCAACGTATGTGCGTTCAGGCTGTAAGTATGTACATACATGTAGTAGGCACTGGCTTCACATTGCCCTGCATACGCCAATCAGCAACGTCACAGATCTTGATAGGGTTGGTATAGAATGATTTGATCCGGAAGAAGCCTGTATCTACCTGTGTCCCAACTAAAAGGGCTACACTTGAGGCCCGGGAGAAGAGCATGTTGTCAGTCCCCGGATGTGATGAGGTGAGACATCCGATGCAGCTCAGGCCTGACATGCTTGCCAAGGTCGGTAGAGAGCTCGGACCTCGTTTACCGTCTATGCATGTTTCGACTGACAGCCACTGATGTTTGGCACCTCGAGGCCCGGAGAGGAAACTCCAAGAGAGTTCAACCTCACTTATCTTGCTCATTATATGCTAGGGTTGACATACATACATGAGGATCGCACTCTCCGGTCTTAGCTTGGCAGCCTTGTGGATGGACATATGCCCGAAGCCCGTGTCTATAAACCAGTTATTGGTCAGGTTGCTTGCACTGTTGTTCGGATTGGATTCTTTGTAAGAATGTCATGCAAGTATCTGGCCATTTGTGCAGTATCGTGATCCCTCACACCTATACCCGGAATGTCTCGGCGACTCCCGGTGGATAGAGTGACTGTCAACTTGCAAGGAACTGTATCAAGTTACTCTTACATAACTCCTCGAGTCCGAGATACGAGATCGGACTAAATCTGGGGACCCCGTTCCGATATTGGGGGTCTAATCCATGGGTGGAGTGGAGCACATTGACATCGATCAAAAATGAGAGAAGAAAAAGCAATATACATAAATGATCAATAACCAGCAAGATTCGCGGTGAGACAGAACCAATAAGAGAAGATCACTCAACCGGCGTGACGGCACATTAGGAACGGTGGATCTAAGCACAGGCTAATTAGACAGGGGATACCCCAAGGAAATAAGAAGCTGAGACAGCCGGCCGGTTTTGAACTACCCACGTTGCTTTTGTCTGCATCCACGGCGATCGTTGTGTTGCACAAACAAAGAGTGACTGGGACTGAGAAGACAACGATAGTAGCAAATCGTGATCTTTGGCACGATCTTACATTCTGTAGCTGATCAACACAAAAGAGTTCTCAGCTCTTGACGCCTCACTTCACATACCAATGCCGTGTGACGTTGGGAATGGGATCCTTGTTTTGGGGCTCTGCGGGATGAACAAACCCGGATCAGCTTGTCTAATTCAGCTTACTAGAAGAGCAATAGGGGAAACAAGTGACAGCGGCACCGTACTGCGATAACCGTGAGCTTGACTCGTCATAATTGCATTGTCTGGTCATTGGGCTGTTTACGAGAAAGGGATAAGTGGATATCATCACTTTAATTCTTCTGAATCATGTGGGCTACACCGGCCCGACACAGACCATGACATTGGGAGATCTTCAGATATCTCATTCCAGTTCCTGGTTATAGGCTTTATGCCAGCCGAGGGAGTAGAGCATGATTCAGATGGTCAGTTTGTTAGCCTTGATCTGAGTCGTGAGACAACCTTGGCCAACACTTATTTTGCATCAGCAGCTGTTCAAATTTGACAAGGCCCCTGCACAATAATTAACGTGGTATTTCGGATGCTTAAGAAAGTGAACGGCAGTCAAATGAAAGGAGAAGTTCTTAGTTACAGATGCACAGAAAATAATGTGAAATGGCTGTTCACGATATCGTCGCGATGTCACGTGAATCAAACTCCGGATCCCACTTTGGCAGGAATGAGAGGTACCCTGATGTTATCCTGTAGGGCTGATTTCTCTCTTGTTTTAGGGGGTTCCAGTGAGCACCGAGAACCTTTTCTGTTAGTGCACAAGTAGCCCCACCAAGCGGAAATTTCTCCAAGATCCCCTCATCAGAGCATCGGCTCACCACAAGATCACCAACGGTGACCTATTCAGCCTCTCTATTCCATTTCTTTTGTTCCCGATCTTCTCATCTTACTATAGAGACTCCAAGATGGTCTATTACTTCACCTCCAACGTGGTCGATCCTCCAGGATTCATCTATGTCGGCAAGGACAAGTTCGAGAGTATGCTTATGCCCAATGATAATCACAATGCGCTGTTCCCCACCGGCTGAGACTTGATGCTAGATGAGGACCTGATCAAGTTCGGCTGGGAAGAGGATATCTGGTAGGGTTCTCCATTAAATGTGTGGGCTTATGCTGAGTAACGTATAGGGTGAGATGACCAGGAATAGCTCAATGAGAATAGAGTAAACTGACAATGTTGGGTCTGCGTAGTTCCACGCAGATAAACTCTCCAGTGCTCATATCTATCTGCGCATGCAGGAAGGCCAGACATGGGACGCCCTCCCTGAAGATCTCGTCATGGACCTCGCCCAGTTGACCAAGGCCAATTCGATCGAGGGTACCTTTCCTCCCTGTAATCCCCTTCTACAGCATGTCTGACATCCAACCCAAGGCAACAAGAAAGACAACGTCACAGTCATCTACACACCATGGTCCAACCTAAAGAAAGACGGCAGCATGGAGGTCGGCCAAGTCGGCTTCAAGGACCCCCGCAAAGTAAAGCGCGTCCTGGTCCCCCAGCGCGAGAACCCCATCGTCAACCGTCTCAACAAGACAAAGGTAGAGAAGAAGCCAGACTTCAAGCAGGAGAGAGACGATCGCCTCAAGGAGCTGCGACGCCGTGACCAGGCAGCTTTTCAAGCCAGGGTAAGCAAGCCCCCGTGAATATTGAAACGAGATTGCTGATGTTAAATCTTGTTGTAGAAGAAGGAGGAGGCTCGACAGGCTCAGGAGTGGAAGGAGAAGAAGTGGCAGAAGGACCATGCCTACGATGATATCTTCACAGAGGAAAACATGGCTGGCTCGAGTAACCAGGACCGCGATGAGAACTGGGAGGACGACTTTATGTAAAAGGAGAGAGAGGATATCAGAGCAGCATGATACAATGCATATTCTTGCAATTTTATGCAACTATGGAGATCCAACTTTGGACTACTGACCTTCATTCTCATCATATTCCAACGCTAACAGGGTATTTTTTAGACAAACTTTCCTTGCCGAACAAAGAAAAAGAACCTACGACTACTGTCGTTGTCAACCGCTAACTCCTATCCCAAAACTACCACTCATACTCATCTCCTCAAATCGGTTCGAGATACCACTTAGGTCACTTGATGTGTCCAGCCGAATAGGGCTTGAGGAGCTCCGATCGCTGACGCCGCTGCAGTTCGAGACGGGTGACTTCCTCATGTTGGGTGTGTCTCGGACTGGATCAGGGGACATCACTAGTTGAGGGGGCAAATCCTCCTCCTCTTCAACCAAGTCCGATAGATCATCGTCGTCATGAAACTCGAGATTAGATGCCTCTTGCTTCTTAGAGGCACTGCGAGTCTCTGACCTGTTGAGAGTCACCACGGCCTGTCCTCCAGGCAGCTTTACTTCGTGAGCTTCCAGTGTCTCTGCGATATCCCAGAGGAGGACGTCCATGGGGCAGATGTACGCAACACGCTTGCGCTGACTCCAGGCCAGAACATGTCCGCAAAGTTGGCCCTCATCTCGGCTGACGATCCAAGCGCCACTGTCACCAGGGATACCTAGAGGAACATTCTTTTTCTGAGACCCCTCTTCTGGTGCGTCGGCGCTCGTGACTTGGTAGGCATGACTTGGCGAAACGCGACCGTAGATCTTCACGCTTGTTAGAGCGGGGAGGATCTTGCCAGTCTGCAGGCCGCTCGTTCGAGCCATGCACTGCACCTCCATGTTTGGCAAGGAGTCTGAAGGAGCGACAGTTGTCGGTCGCAGCATGGGTGATCCGACTGTCTGCTTTCCCTCAGACTTTTGTGCGAGGGACTTGCCATCGATGCGAGGAATAGTGTTGTCATCAGGCAGTCTATCGTGAGCGAATTCGAAGAGAGCCCAGTCAACCTCATGCACGAGCCCAAGGGCCTGCTTCCTGCGAATACCACTTGAAGCATACACCTCCCCGACACTGTATGTGTCGAGGTGGTCCTCGTCTTGAGTCTCTGGGTCAGGATAGAACCCTTCTTCGACATCATCGAGAGCCGGCTGTGTGACGATGTAACCATCACCACATCCTGGTTCAATGCCAGGGATATCTCCAGGCTCGGTATACTCCTCATCTTCCTCATCGTCTTCGTCGTCCTCATAGTCACTGGTGATATCGGAATCCGAGTAGGCTTCCGATTCAGTATCGGA